GACAATAAAAAGATCTATAAAATTAATATATACACAGAGTGAGAGATGAAAGAGAGGGACAGAGACAGAGAAAATGGGTAATGCTTTGGAATTGGATACCACATTTATCTCTCTCTAGTGAAGTTCAGAATCAAAATTTACATGTGGGGAAGGCATAAATGAGGTATGAAGGTGTTGTCCTCTCGTGTGGAAAGAGGTCTAGTAATTTTAGCTTATCTATGTTGCTCAGAAACCATAGTTCCCTCTTGTTCTTAACCATTTTAAGGGCTTGTTGACTACTGAGATAACTAGAAATATGTGCTCCAAAGATGTGACGTTAAAAAAAATAAATACCAGGCCACCTGGATTATATAATTACTTAGTCTGCCAGGTACGTTCCAATTTTATCACCAACAGGCATCTTAAGTGAATATTTGCTTGTGAATTTTCTCCGGTGCCTGGTACACACCTGACACCTAGTAGGTGTTCAATAAATATTTGTCAAATAAAAGGATAACTGAAGAGCACTGAGGAGGTATGTCTGGTTAACTGATACCCTGAAGCACGATCCTGAGCTCGCTGATTCTTCACCAGAGGAAGGACTGTGCCTCTTTCCCATCATCCCCTCTGGTGGCTGTGCCCCCTACTGTCCTTTTCCAGCCAACTTTTTTTTACTTCTTTTGGCTCCTTGTCTCCCTCTAGGTTTTGTTACTCTTCCCACACTAGCTATTTACCTCCTCCTTTCAAAGGGTGAGATGGGAAAAATTCTAGTGCAGTAGTTGATCCTGAAAAAATGCCTTCTGCATGGAAAACAGACAACAGTCTTCCTACCTTCTAAGGAAGTATTTTGAATGACCAGGTGGCAGTTCCCAGATGCGATTTCACTTGAGGTCCTTGGATTGACTATTTATTGCTACGCTCGAAATGATGGTTATTATTGTTACAAATATTATTATGCTGAGGAAGCCAGCTTGCAAACAGAGACAGCTGAATTGTTTACAAACATAATTAATGAGGTGATTTTTAATATCAACAGCTCGGCACCAGCCTTTCTAAAGACTGTTTATGGCCTGGGCCACAGAGCCATTTGTAACTTCTACGGCACTTCTCTGACGGGGCCGCCTCCAAGAGTCATTTCCTTTGGCTGGTCCCTGGTTTATTTTATGAATGACAAAAATAAACCTCTCCTTGTTGCTGGTGAGAAATGGTTTATGTCTAGCGAGCCCACGTTCACCAGAAGATAAACACAGGAATACTTTTCCTAGAAGTGAAGGTACATTTCCTAGCAGCTAACTTCTGTATTTATACAATAGTCATCCAGCTAAGGTGGCGGTCCTGGGGGACTGGGAAGGAATGGCATATTCCATTTCTAAACATGGAAATGTTTTGTGTGGCATGATACTCTATAAATACCTGCAGTATATCAATACTCAGAAAAATAGCTTATACTTCAAATAGGCTTTCGACGGTCTAACAATTGAGGCCTTCTACATGACCACAGACTTTTATTCCATTTAGTTATATTTGGGTGAAGGATGTGGACAAAAGATTCTCTCTCCTCTAAATCTGGCCTGGCCTGACATAGCCTTTCAAAATGGACTTGAAAGCAAGCCATTCTTCCTTGGTTAAGTATTAGGTGAGACTCATCTTTTTGTCTTTAGGTTTTCCATTCCACTCCTGATTTTGAACTTTGGTGGCTGGTGTACCCCAAATTTGAAGGATAAGTTTATTCTTATGAGATACCTACCATTGAATACCTTTCCAAGCAGTTAGGAGAATGACTCTTCCACCTGCATAATAAAATATAAACTAATCATCCTTCTAGGCTCTGCTGTGTTGAAAAGCAAGAAATGAGTGTCAGTGTGTTTCCTGACTTGGTTCTTACATTTCAGAGGTTAGATGATTTAATAGTATGTTTAAACCTTTGTTTTCTCCTCCACAGTTTCTAAGGGAATTATTGTTATTCTATTCCCTCTTGACTAGGAAATTGCCTGGATATATCTGTTCAGTAAGAGGCAGTAAGATAGGAAGAGATACAAAAAGACTACAAATAATGAAAGTGACCCAAGATAATTAAAGTCAGCCATCTTGTATTTTTCTGGTAATTTTCAGGCAAATGCCTCTGAAACATAGTTTTATGATCCCAATTCCACATATCCTCATTTATTACCTTAATCCACACTGGCTCTGGAGTGGATAATGAGAACTTTGTGAATAGCCCAGGTTTCATACTTTTAGGTGTTAAATAGGAGTGTTCATTTAATACAACTCCACACTTATTGAACATCTGGGGATATATACCCCCTACCCTCAGGGAACTTCACCATCTCCCAGAGGAGACAGAAACAAATAATGAAGATTTGTCTTTAAAAGTGCACTCTTCTTGGGGCGCCTGGGTGGCGCAGTCGGTTAAGCGTCCGACTTCAGCCAGGTCACGATCTCGCGGTCCGTGAGTTCGAGCCCCGCGTCGGGCTCTGGGCTGATGGCTCAGAGCCTGGAGCCTGTTTCCAGTTCTGTGTCTCCCTCTCTCTCTGCCCCTCCCCCGTTCATGCTCTGTCTCTCTCTGTCCCAAAAATAAATAAATGTTGAAAAAAAAATTTTAAAAAAAGTGCACTCTTCTAAAGAGAATTGTTTGTTTGATCAGTTTGACTGCTGGGATTTTCGTTCTGCTGATTACAGTAATGAGTAGAGAGGAGAAATGGAAGAGACCAGAGGGAACTAAATTGATTTATATAGGAAAGGACATGAAGCTACCAGTGGGATGGAAAAGAATAAATCTAGAAATTAAGAGGAGGGGGTGAGGGGCAGGGGTGAAGTTTGAAGGGGTGAAGTAAGAGGAAGACTTTGGGGGACCAACTGCCATGATGTCTGGGATTCTGGGGGTCAGAAAGGTTCAATGAGAATTTTTATTTATTTAAAAAAATTGAGATATAACTTATATGAAGTGCAAATGTTAAGTGAACAGCTCAAAACATTTTTATATAGGAACATACTTTGTATCTGCCACCCATATAAAGATATAGGAATTTCCATCATTCCAGAGGGGTCTCTCAAACCCCCTCCCCATTGGTCGCCTAAGGGTGATCCTTATTCTGCTTCTTCTCCCTATAGAGTAGTTTCACATGTTTTTAACTTGATATATGTAGAATCGCATAGTATTTATTCTTAGTTTCCACCTCCTTACACTCAACGTTATGTCTGTGAGATGGAATTATACATGTTTTTGCAGGTTTCAGTAGTTTACTCTTTTTCATTCTCATGTAGTATTCCGTTCTTTGACTATGCCACGAT